TCATGGTGCCTTTCTCCATGTACTCCACCTCCATCACCGCCTTCTTGATCTCGTCCGCGCTGTGGTACTTGTTGAGGGGGAACTCGGTGCGGACGCGGCTGGAGTACTGCACCAGCCCCACCCGCGTGCCGTGGGGGGGCACCTCCAGCAGGTCCACGATGCGGTTCACAAACTGCTTCACCAGCTCAAAGTTCTGGGGCTGGACGCTCTTGGAGCCATCGATCACCATCACCAGGTCGGCATGCCCGGCCCTGCACTCTGCAGGCACAGGGGGAAGGTGAAAAGGGACTGGCTTGGCTGTGGGCACCTGTGAGTGGGGTGAGGCTGGGAAGCAGGGCAAAGCGCGCCTGGATGTCGCAGCCCTAAAACCTCCACTGCCACCCCATTGTCTCTGAAAGTCCCTCCTAGGTTTCCCTTTTCCTGAACCTTTCCTCAAAGCTCCTGTTGCATTTTCTGGGCCACGACTCTGAGGGCGTGAGCCAGCATCCGTCCCTGCAGCAGCCGGGGGGCCCCACCCAGCCCCGCCAGCTCTCCATCCTCTTCCAATTCAGCTCAGACAAAGTCCCCCTTAGAACCCCAGCCTAGCTGCAGGTAAGCCCTTGCCAGGACTGCAGAGCCCAGCCGAGGAGGATGCTGAGAGCCATGTTCCGGTACTCACTGCTGCACGCCTTGCCGTCAGCCTGGAGCTGCTGGCCCTCGGGGCACACGCAGCGGTAGGAGCCCTCGGTGCTCACGCACTTGAACTCGCAGCCGTGATCCACCCCATTGCAGAGGTCGGTGGCTGAAAGACAAGCCAAGGGCACAGGGTTATCCCCATCCGGGCAGGGTGGCCCAGGAACAGCCCTTCCCCTGGGGATCGGGCACAAGATATCTGCCATAGACCGCAGCCCCTGCCACACCACCATGCCGGGACGTACCCCTGCAGGACCTGCTGTCAGGCTGCAGTGTGAACCCGCTGCGGCAGCGGCAGTAGTGCCCGGTGGGGATGCTCACACACTCGTGCTGGCAGCTGTGGTTTCCGAAGCTGCAGTAATCGATCACTGGTGAGAGAAGGAGAAGGGCGGGCAGAAAGGGAAAGACATGAGAAAGAAGAGGGAGAGGGAGGAGCAAATGAAGAAGGGACAGGAAAGGAGAGGGACACTTACTACTGCAGCTCCTCTTGTCCTGGTTGAGGTAGTAACCCGCGCGGCAGCGGGACGAGTACGACCCACGAGCACTGACGCACTGGTGCTGACAGCCGTGTCTCCCGTCTGCGCAGGCATCGATGGCTGCAGGGGAACAGGACACCCGTCACCCTCCTGTCCCGGTCTCCCTGGGGCAGCTGAGCAGAGACTGCTCCAGGGCTTCAAGAAAGCTCCCAGCACCCTGAGACAAGAAGGAAAAGTCCCAGGGTGGTGGCCAGAACCAACTAATAAAAGCTTTGCACTCAAAATACAGGGCCAAAACACCGTGCATTTGGGCTGGGACGTGCATCTTCTGGTACCCACTGCCTGGAGCTCCCTCAGGTGACCGGCAGCTGGTTGTGCCCACGTGAGCCCCGCGTGTCCCATCCCAGAGAGGTGGTCAGGATTTAGCAATGCTGAGCACCATCCGCAGCCATTACAGACCCGGGAGACAGCGTGCCCAGTGAATGGAGCACCCAGGCTGCTGCTGGCCTTGCAGGGTCCTCTGCTGCGTTTCAGCTTCCTTCCATGAGACCTGTAACTACAAGTCCTCTACGAGAGTTAGGATAAAAAAAAAAGGATTTTTACGGGAACAGGTCTTTCCATCCAGGTTGAGCCTGTGGCCCGGGTTGCATTCGCAGTAGAAGGAGCCAGGGGTGCTGATGCAGCTGTGCTGGCAGCCGTGCTCCCGCTCCACGCACATGTCCACCCCTGCAAGACAGAAAGGGCATCAGAGCGGTCCACGGGCACACCAGACACACGGGGACTCTGGCTCCAGCACCAACCTGTACCCATAGCTGAAGCCACTAGGATGAGCTGCATGGCCCCAGCCCTCCCAGCCCCAGCGCTCACCCACTGATTTCCAGTACACAGACATGGACACTGCACAGGGCAGGTTCCTGAACTACCTTGGCTTTTTGATCTACCCGAGCACTAAATCAACACTCAATGTTAATTGATACTGTTGACAACTTGAGCTGAGTAAGCGGAAGCTTGAGCTCAGCTGGAACAGGCTGAAGGAGCCAGGTCTGTGTCTGTGCAGCCAGGAGGCTGCAGAGCTGGCCGGGGCGCAGGCAGCGGGGCCGGCAGGCGATGGGCAGGGCATCGTAAGCAAAAGCATCAGGCGCAGCAGCACATCAGGGCCCCGGGGGGCAGTATCTGGTCAGCCCTGGACGCCCGCCCCGGCAAGCAGGGACACACCACGGCACCAATGCAGCCCTGCAGGCATGCGCTCGCCCCTGGCTAGGAAACACTGCCTGAAAGAGGCTGGCAGCTGCTTTCTGCCCTTCGACAGACGTTGGAGAGTGTGAGCAAGGTCCTGCCAGCCCGCTGCGGTGCCAGGTCTCCAGCAAAGCCCACCAGCATGGGGGGTGACAGACAGGTCCCAGCCTGTGAGCTCCTGACCCGTGCCAGCATGGCCAGGGTGTGAACCAGCCTCCTGGCTCCCAGCTGAGACCGGCCAGCCGCTCCAGATCAGCACCATGTGCCCAGGGTTTTATTAAACACAAATGTGCATGCAGCAGATGTCATGCATGTGTCTGTGTAGGAGGACACCTTGCTAGAGCCAGGTCGAAATGTGTACAGGGCTCTGGGATGTGTCACCCGTTCCCGTCACACCCAGGGAAACCAGCTCCATGTTGCCTGCTCTTTAATATTCCCACCACTGCTCCCACAATGTCCTGGCTTGGGGCACAGCTACCAGACATGAGTGAAGAAAAGTGCTTGCTTGCAATGCTTTTGAAGCTCTCCTTATCTCACCCCAGCAGAGGAAAGGTGAGCAAGAGGAAAGGTGAGCAAGAGGAAAGACTGTCTGTCCCGGCATCCCATCGGGGAGGTTGCTTCCCTGTCCATACTGCCCCTAGCAAGGGGAGCCACCCCAAACATCCCTCTGAAGGTCATCTTCTAGCCTGGATGAGGAGCAGGCACCAGGGCAACCCTTGCCACCTCTCAGCCCTGGCTCTCACCCACCGCAGAGCTTGTCCTGGAACTGCTTTCCAAACTGCTGGATGAGCTCGAAGGACTCCACCAGGAAGACGTGCTCCTCCAGTGGCGGTGAGGCCATGGCCCGCAGCGAGTTCATGTCTGCCCGCTGGATGCCCACAGCATAGATCTCAATGCCAGCACTCCGGGCTTGGGTGGCCACCTCGGTGACACGGTCCTGGGGCCGTCCATCTGTCACGATGATGGCGATGCGGGGGATCTTCTTGTGCATAGGGCGTGCACCCTCCTGCGTGGTGAAGGCCACGTTCATGGCGTACTGGATGGCTAGCCCTGTCATGGTGCCCTGGGCCAGTGGCACGATGCTGTTGATGGCCTTTTCCATGTCCGCCCGTGTGAAGAAGGTCTTGAGGGAGAAGATATTCTGCACCTGGCTGGAGTACTGGATCACCCCCACCCGTGTGGCGTTGGGGCCTATGTCCAGGCTGCCGATGATGTCCATCATGAACCGCCGCATGGTCTCAAACTCAAAGGGGCGCACGCTGCGGGAGCTGTCGATCACAAACACGATGTCCAGGGGACCCGTCCTGCACTTCAGGGCTGGAAGGGGGCAAAGAGATGGTTCAGCCTCATGGCTGCCTGTGGGGAGCAGGGCTGGGAGCGGAGATATCCCTGCTGGGTGGCTGCAGGGGTGCTCAGTGGGGGATGGAGAGGGCAGATCTGGGCAGCCCCCACAGACCAGCATCTTCCCACTGCCAAATAAACCCATGGAGGGCGCGGGCAGAGTGGGAGCAGGGAGGACAGGCAGGGGAGGCATGCCCTGGCCTTAGGGCTATGGGGAAATGGCAGTGTCCCCTCCTCCCCAGCACTGTCCCTGCAGCCAGACCCAGCTCCTGCTCCCTGCATTTTCGCAGCTGACAGCCCCAGAGGCTGCAGAAACGCCTCTCTGTCTGCTGGCATCTGCCCTGGCAAGGCTTAAGCACAGGTTTAGGCAGTGGAAAATCAGAGCATTAAAGTGTAAAACAGCCCAATGCCTCATGCTGTCCTCCGCAAGCTGCAGCTCCTGCACTGCCTGGGCTCCTGCTGCTGCAGTGCCAAGCATGAAATACTGCTTTGGGCAATTCTTCTGTTCCCCCCACAGCTCCAGCTTCCCCCTGTTTTTTACTGCATTTTGCCAGTTTTTGCCTAAAACAAGGGATTGCTTTGGTTTGTTTTGGTTTTTAAGGGCAGAAAATGAGATGGTGAAAAAGCACAGCTCAGGGCATGCACATGGCGGGGATGGAGCCAAAGAGCCTCTCTTGGACATATGGGTGCTAGTTCCAGTGCAAACCGGGAGATTGTTTAGCAAGTGAAATGCCAATGAACATATTTTGCTTGGCTTGTGTGTAACTAAGCCTGGGAGAATTTGGAACTAATGGTAAGCAAACACTTTGAGTCCCCTTGGGATGATGCCCAGACCCGGGCTGTCATCTCAACTGCTCCGAAGGTGTCCAAGACAGACCCACTTCTTCCTCCATTCAGTGCCTTCACTGTTTTTAAACTGGAATTGATGTAGCTCCCTCTGCCCTGGGAGGAGAGAGGCTGGCTCCCCTGGGTTTGCCTTGTCCCCCCCATCAGGAGACCCATGGAAGGAGGGGGTCCCCCTCACGCCTGTGCCTCCTGCCAAGGTCGGAGCCTGCGGGCAGGAGGGTGACAAGCCCTGAGGCTCGGCTGTGCCAAGGCTGAGGACATGCCTGGAGCAAGTGGCACCAGACCCACCATGCTGGGGCCACACTTGGGCTCCCGCTCCCCTGGGAGGCACTGGGAAGTTCATGTCCCATGCCTGGGGGGATCCTCCATCCTCCTGGGGATGCTCCTGAGCAAGAAGCATCAGGTCTCCCCACCTCAACCAGTGAGCCATCCTCTGAGGGCTTCACTGCCCCAACAGACTCACTTCTCTCTCCTGCAGGCAATTCCCACCGTGCAGGGCTTACCTGCAGGTTTTGGTCTAGCCTCCAGCATCGTCAGGAGAAGCAGGAGGAGAGGGGCAATGGGCAGGAGCTTCATCATGGCTCTGTGAGATCACACAGCTCCGGGGCTGGGAGTGCTTGCTGCGGAGAGAAGATGACGTTGTAATCGGTGCTGAGGGTGGGCTGAGCCGCGGGGACACGCTCATCTGTGGTGGGTGTCCCCAGGCAGTGCCAAAACCCCTGAGCAGCAGCAGTTGTGACAGATCCATCCCCAAACTTCTCTGAACCCACGTGGGACTTTTCCTATTCAAGGACTGGCAGTCTCAGCACAGCTAAATTTCATTACAGTAGCAACGATCTGCCAAAGGGTCTGATTTTCTGCTCTGGGTGGAGCTGGCCATCCCACAAGCCTTATTTTCACTTGCAAACCAGGCGGATGGGATGTTCAGCCAAATGCTTTTTCACTGGCGGTGCGGCTGCTCTCTGCAGCCAGCCGGAGAGTGGGAAAGCTGCACCCGGGGATGGGGAGTACCAGCCCTCCTGACTCTCCCTCCGCACGGCAACGTGCTGGGAAAAGAAGCCCCCAGATGAAACGCCAGCACAGACAAAACCTGCTCAGAAGTCTCTCAGAGTCACTGGCAAAGACCGTTTTTCCAAGAAGCTCCATAAATTTATTCTCTGCCTTTCTCCAGACTACCTTTGGAGAGCAGGGAGCAGATGCCTCCGCAGGCACAGGGTGTAAGGGTGCCCGTGCAGATGGGCTTGTACTTGCCCCCCCCGGGCAGGGTGCTGGGTGATGCACTGCCTGCTGCCCTCCCTCTTCACATCACCCCGGGGCACCCCACCGCTCTGTCACCAGCACTTCACAGCTCTCCCCATCCTGATGGCTTTTCCAAGGCACACTCTGTACCCTGACAGCTTTTTCATGCATCTGAGGTGGGATAGCTGGGGAAAAGATATTTAGACCCAAAACCTCAGCTTGTGACTTGTCTCCCTCCCTGCCCACCTCTGCGTTGCCTTGCCTTGCCTTTCCCTGCCCTTGCCTGCCTCCTGCAGGGACATGGATTTATTTGGTTTATTTTTATTCCACCTCTGGTTGGAAACCCAAGGTGGTGGTGGGGGAAATGCCACAGTTAACACTGCTTCCCCCAGGAGACGTGCAGTGCCACAGCCGGGCACAGATACTGGCAGGGTGCTTTTAAAAAAAAGCACACGGAAATTCATTTTATCGGTAGTTATCAGCCGATATTTATTTAGCCCCAGGAGGTCTCAGTTGTAATTCATCACCAGGGTTGCCATTTAATTGCTCAGTGGTTACGTGCAGCCCTGAACCTCACATGGATTTGATAGCAGTGATGCTGATAATAGGTTTCACAGCTGCACCTTAAAATTGTCTCCAGACTCAGTGTTCACACCTGAAAAATGATATTGAAGAATTAGAAGGACAGAAAAGGGCTACAAGAGGAAACTGGGATCCAGAATACCAGTTTCAAAGTGGGAGACACGGCCTTTTCCCAGGAGCGTGAGCAGCCCAGGCAGCCCGGGACGCAGCGCTCCACAGCAGGCATCTGGAGCTGCTCAGGAGGGCCCGGTGGGATGGCTCCGGGCTGCAGGGCTGAGGAGAGTCTGCAGCCTGGCTGGTGTTCTCTGGGAAGCCACCGGGCTGAGGTGAGCATCACTTTGTGGCCCGCTGGCGGTGGCACCGGCGAGGAACGCACGGGTGCCTGTGCCCCCTCACAAAAGCACCATGTGCAAGCAGAGGAGCAAACAGCCTCTCCTACCCCAGCTTTGTTTCCCCATTTATTTAGCAGATTCTTTTTCCAGTAATGCCTTTTTTTTTTTTTTTTTTTTTTTTTTTTTGAAAAACCACCCCCTAACCACTAAATATTTTGGGGACAGCTATGCCACCTATAACATTTCTGCAGCTCTCCGCTCTCCAAGCCTCCCTGCAATGGCAGTCTGGCATGCAGCCCGCGTCTCACAGCATCCAGATAGCTTCAAAGCCAGCCCAGAGAGAGGAATGAGCTCTCGGGCCAGGAACCAAGGAAGAGAAAACCAGTTCATGACTGATCTATTTTTAGCAGCATCTCAGCTTTGGATGAAGTCTTGGCACTCCCTGCGGCTGGAGGGGCTGACGCTGCCTAGACAGGGCAGGGCACGGCAGCTCAGCCATGCATCCAGCACCGGTCCTGGCAGCAGAGACCCACGCTGGGACAGGGGCCTGGTCCCCGATTCAGTGTACCACCCAGCCCTACCCCAGCAGCAAGGCTGATGGGGACGGGGAAGCAAAGCTGACAACACAGATGTCCCTGAGTATCTCTCCCACCATCCCATGCTGGGCAACTTCCCCTGCTACTCACTGTCCCCACTCCCCTGGGGGCAGCACTGGGGCCGACTCGAAGCCCCGTGGGGGTTCCCCCCACCCCGAGGGCTCCCACGCGCCCCCCTGTCACCACCCAGGAGCAGGAGGGAGATGGGTGGGAAGCAGCCGGCTGGCGGGCAGGTGCTGCGAGGCAAGGCAAACACGGTGCCGGCTGCAACACCAGAGACCTTGAGATAACGCTGAGCTATAAAGGAAAAAAGGTCCAGGCGGGGCGAGCGCTGCCGGCTGGGCTGGCTCAGCCGAACCCTGCGGTGGCCGAGCCGAGAGGGACACTTGGACTGTCTCCTTTCCTTTCACAGCAACGCAAGAGGAAAACCATCGCTTGTCCCTGCTGAAGAGATGCTCAGTACATGGCACAAAGAGGGTGACCAAGGGAAGAGCCACACGTAAGGACAGAAGGGTTGGCAATGACCCCAGCCTCCTCTTTACTCTCCTCATGATCTCGGACAAGGAGGACATGGAGATGAATCCCCAGAGTCAAGCAGGTAAGCCAGCATGCCTTCCCTGGGCACCTTCCCTGGGCAGCCCTGCCAGCTCTCCAGTGCTTGCATCCCTCCCTGCTCCGCCACTTGTCCATCTGCTCTCCCTGCCAAGTGCTGAGTCTCAGGAAAAACAGCTGCTTCGGGTTTCAGCACAGCCTCCTTGGCAGCTCTCTCCTGGCTACAGGTTAACAGAAATGCTCTGAATATTCCACTTCTGGTTCATCCACACAGGTTGGACCTGGGCGCATCCTCCCTTGGGCAAGCCCAAAGAACAGGGCATGGCAGGGAGCAGGGTGAGGGATGCAGCCGGTTCCGTACCCTCCTGGTCGTTACAGGGGTGGGGGCTTTACATATAGAATTGTGGAGGGGATGAAGCAGATGGAGAAAGGAGGGGTGAAAGGCTCAGGAGGTGGCAGTGCCCAGGAAAAGCCCCAACCGTAGTGTCACAAGGAGGAAAGCAGGCTGTGGACCATGGCTATGGAGTCACGAGCCAGGTCTCAGGTACAACCACATGCAAGATTTCATACATCTGGGCACATCAGCGTTTAGCTGAAATTTTTGTTTACAGCAAAACCCATTCAACTCCAGCTACCTGCCTGTGCTTGGCAGGCCTTTGGCACATTGTGGGAGCAGCAGCAGCAGCAGCTCTGCCCTGGTTCCAGACCCTGCAAGAAGCCAGGACAAGAGATCACCATGCTTTGCAAGAAGTGGGGCACAGCCAGCGGCCTCTGACCGAGCACGCTGTTACCCAACATGAGCAAAGCTGGAGGGCTGTGCCATGCAGCGTGCCTGTGCATGGAGGAGGCACGCACAGCATGCCTGGGCAGGCATGGCATGAGTGCCCAGCTCTGATGCCACATGTGCTACCAGCTAACAGCACATATTTCTGTGCTGGAAATTTTGGCTGATGGTAGAGCAGCCCTGGACATGATATTCCTGAGACTCACCTGCCTCACCTGGCTCTCTGTGTATCCTGCTTTGTTCTGCAGGGTTTTTCTTTGCAGAGATCCAGTTTTGGCAGACCATAATTCAACTCCCACAACAGTGATATTTGATGAAACTGTCAAAAAAATCTCAAAATAGGCTCAGGAGCCTGGACACAGACTCCTTGTGCTTAGGACACCAGAGTCCTGCCAGGACAACAGCAGAAAGACAGCAAGAGCTGGCCTCAGGCTGAAGGATGGGGAGACAAATTTTCCTGTCCTCAGCAGGACACCAAGTCATCCTTCAGTTCCACACCTGAGAGAAAGGCTGCCCAAAAAGTGCACATGGGACCAAGGGAGGATGACCGAAGCATGTCTTGCCCCAGGCACAGGGGACCAGAGCTACCCAGAGAGATGCAGACAACTTAGATCAACCTGGAGGCACTTCTTGATGTCACATTTTGCTGTGGAAACCCTGATGGACTGCAGGCATATTGTCCATATATTTGCAAGACCCTCAAGCTGTGTGAATGGATAAGGCCTGGGACAGCCCTGGAGCTGGATCCACCCTCTCCTGGAGGGTTGCCCAAAGGTTGGTTTCTCCCAGCACAATCCACAATCTCAAGGTGCTCCCTGCCTGCAGGTGCAGGGCTCTCAGCGGTGCTTCCACTGCCCGTGTGCACTGAATCCACCCCCAAGACCAATTTACAGGCAGTACTCAATCACAGCTCCAGCATCTCAATTCTCATCCTTCACAGCAGCTGGGCGACAAGCTGCAAACCCCATGAGAGAGGACAGCAATGCAGTTTTCAGAACAAGGAAGAGTCAGGGAGCAGAAATGCGTCGAGACCAGGGAAATGATGAATTTCCACCCCAAAATGTTTTCTGCCCCCTTTTTAAAGGACTGATGTGTCCTTGGTTCTTCCCAAACATGCATGTGGGAGAACAAGAGCAGACTCCAGACTTCCAGGACATCACAGTACTCTCCAGTTACAACGCTACAGCAGCTTTACTGGGCCAAGTGCCACCTGGAAGGACACGTTGTTTGAAAAATAAGGCTGTATTTCTCGAACAGCACATCATGGCTCCAAACCTAACAGGAGTGAGTGGCAGGAGTGCTGTAACAGGAAAACCTTGCTGGATTCAGAACGGACTTCTCTTTCTCTCCCCTTGCTCCCCCAAAAAGCCAATTGCCTGTTTTATGGGGCCCACTCCTGCACTTATTAGGACTGGTGCATTCTCGAAGAGGGCAGGAGGAAGATGGGTTTCTTGTCCCTGTCCATTTGCGGGCTGAGTGACAGATGCCTCTGTCTCGCAGCTCATGGACTTAACATCATAC